TTCATATTTATCACATGAATGCATCCTAGATCTTTTCAAGACGCTTATTGCTCTTTTGGACAAGTGTGTGAGTTATTAACTAGTGCTCTGATACCACTCTGTCATGACCCGAACCCACCCCCATGGGTTAAGGACATAACCGGCCAGTAATCATGAGACCACCTACGGCCTCAAACCGAACCGAAAGTATTTTAACAGAGTTAATGGGGGCCAAACAGAAGTAGTTCAAAACTTTGTCCGTAGAGCTGTGCTTACATGGCACATCCAAACAACCAAACACATATACATTAATAACTCACAACAGAAATACAGTAGCATAAGTTCTGTACAAACAGGATCATCCAAAAACTAAGTCAACCCATGAAAACTATATACAGACATATGTAAAGTCCTCGCCAACATGACAAAAATAACATAGCATAGCAGAAAGGCGAAGACGAGTCTCGTGTGTGAGACACTAGGGCTGACTCTCCAAAACTCGGTTATTCTACACAGACTTCACTGGGGCTGGGTTTGGACCTCTCTTGGCTTACCTGCAAACACATGAATAAGCGTGAGCGATAGCCCAGTGAATAATATCAAATAAGAAGATACAAACGATATGTAGAATAACATACTCCGAACGGCCTTGGGCCTAATTCACATTTTTATTTAACATTTATATACACAATTTAAGTCAAGTGACTATGGTTTCAAACATACTGGCCTTTGGCCCATTTATCTTTCATTCTTATCAAAACAGCCTCTGGCCCATCCATTCATGTCAAAACGGCCTTCGGTCCATCCATTCATGTCAAAACGGCCTTTGGCCTATCCAATTCATGTCAAAACAGCCTTTGGCCCATCCATTCATGTCAAAACTGCCTTCAGCCCATCCATTCGTGTCATATCAAATATTTGTCCATAATTCAAACCGACAACTTATAAGGCTTATAAGAAATAAGCAATTGGACAAATGACGAGTTTCAAATATCGATATTACTCACAGTGATCGGCTTGTGGATTTGCCCTGGAGCTTGATCCTACACATCATATAGCAAATAAGGGTCACAACCAATTCAATCCGTTCTTTAATTCACATATTTCTCTTTAGGCTCCATTCTTATCTCTTTAACTCAATTACAATGCCTAATGCATGCCAAAAAGTGCTTGCAAGTGAAAGAGAACGGAAAACGAAACACATAATACATTTTCAAAATTTCAAAGAGCAGGGTCCATGCTCGAGCGTTGACTTTCCCACTCGAGCGGACCCATGAGGTCTGTAAAAGTACTGGTTATGTCATTTTTACGCTCGAGCGTGGAACTTGGACGCTCGAGCAGAAGTCCATCCTACATAGCTCCCCGCTATGCAGAAAGCCCACACTCGAGCGGACATCATGGTCTGCAGAAAATATTAGGAGCACGAAATTCACGCTCGAGCGGCGGTGTCCCCGCTCGAGCGGACATAAAATTTCTGGGTTTTCCAGAATGTGTTCTTGAGCTCAAATTCGACATTTCAACCACATTTATTGCATATGATGGCTTAAATCTCACATATGCTTGTACTAACATGGTACTAACACCAAATTACAACACAATGGAGTTCAATTTCACGAATTGATCACATGCATGCCCCAAATTAACTCAAACTCATGCATTCAAGGTTCCCATTTTTAATAAACAACATGCATGCCCATTTTGACTTTCATTTTCACTTCTAATGATGCAATTAGTGCTCATTACCATGAAACTCAACAAAAACATGCTTGCATATGGGATTACATTTCCAATCTTCCGTAATTTACAATTTACATGCTAGATTTTGTGATTCCATAGGTATTCTTTACATGCATGCACATATCAAGCTTTCATTCCAACAAAACCAACTCAACTCATGCTCTTGGTTACAAACAAACCTTGAACACACAAGATTACATATTAAACTCATGAATTCAAGAATTAATTGCTTACCTAGAAGCCCAATCTATGGTTAATTCTTGAACTAGACTTTAAATATCCAAGCTTGAGTCAAAATTGCAAAAGTCTCCCACTTCGATCTCTATGGCCGGCTCTCTCTCTCTCTCTCTCTCTCTCGGCACCAAAATCAGATTTTTGAGTTCAAAATAGGCAATGAGAGTGTATATGGCCTCACACATAAAGCCCCACTAACTATTATTTAATAACATTAAATAATTGAGCACTAAATCGTTAGTTTAATCAATTTAATTCGACCCGAATTGATTTTTAATTAAATTTCACCGTAGGCTCTAAAGATTATGCTAATCACAGATCAATTTCGAGTTTTGTGGCCGATAAGGCCCTCAATTTAATTTCCAAAGCAGATAATCAAACAGATATTCCTACGGTGAATAGATAGAAATTCAAAACCACATATTTTCACACAATGGCACATGAAATCATATTAAACACATAATCATACTCAAATTAAGGACCAATTAGCGTACTACGGAACAGGGGCATCACACCTTGCTTGATCCAATGCAGACAGACAATCTGTGTCAGGATTTTTCTTGCCTTGTGAATCAATAGAAAGTATGTGTTATGTATGTCTTTTTTTATTTTTGTGTAACTGATGAGTTTGGTACTGGCCAATATCAAGAACAAAACTTAATTTCTCAAGATAGAGGCCACCAATGCATATTTATAATTGAACTAACACGTAATGAATCTCATTGTTCTCCACTTCATGTCTTGTAATGCAAAATAAGTTTTTACATCTAATAAGGCACAACATGCACGTAAATACAACTGTCATATCTATTACAAAGTATGTTGTTTTGACTCTAAGAGTCTGTTTGAATAGATGTGGATTTCAAATCAACAGATTTGAGGTTAAATGGATAAAAAAACAATTGAAGAAGATAAGTTGAGATAAAAGATATATATTACCTAGAAAGAAAATTCTTTATATGGTTTCAAATAACTAGTTTTATATAGTTATTTTAAATCCATCGTGATAAAACTATTTAAGTCAATCTTGAAATTCATAAGTAGACTATCATATCTAAAATTGAGTTACTATCCTTCAATGATTAAGGTCAAATCTCTTGATTTGAAATCCATATCTATCCAAACGGAGCCTAATAAAGTTCCACACCAAAATAAATAAATAAATATTAAACACCAAATCCCTTCCATCACAAGCCACAATCCAAACAAATCACAATCAAAACCCAAAATCAGATTAAACAACAACTAAAAGTACCTGAAAGACCTTGCTGCCTTCATTGATAGATCGGAGAATCTCTCTAATTGGCTTCGATTGGTGAAATTTAATAGTCCAGAAACCAATTCACCCAAGAAAATGAAATCAAATAAACTCAACAAATAAAAATATTTGTGAAAAAAAAGACTCAATCGAATAGAAGAGAGAGCATGGAGAGAGAGAGAGAGAGACCAATACGGTGATACGGTTTGAGACCAGCTGTGGCCATCCTCCTTGCAAAAGCTTGTCGGTACTTCGACATGTCGATTGAGTCATGTTGTAGACTGGAACAACTGTAGAGTAACCGATTGATGGATGCATTGGAGGGATTTAAAGGAAGGCGATTCGATGGTTTGCAAATAGTGATGGGGCCTTTGATTTTGCTTTTGCTCTTATTTCTCGCTACAGAAAGAGAAAGAATGATGAAGCAAGGGTTGCGTGCTCAGTAACCTCCCTCCCCCCTCTCCCTCCCTTTCTCTCTCTCTTCTCTATGTGCCTTTTGATGAACCTGCTTCCTTTTGATTATAATAAGCCCTAGAGTTTATGTATTTTGATTTTCTTTTTTAATACGTTGTTTTAGTGTTTGGGGCCTGAAGTTTTTCTACTTTGGCGCCTATTTTTTTTAGTCATACATTTCATGACATAAATTGCACGTCGTAAAAGGTGAAATATATTTAACGGCTGACATATGCGTGTCGTGTATAATTAATGTATTAATGGCATATCCTACAAATTTGTTGGATTAATTATCCATTGGATTAATAATTCTAAACCAAAATGTTAAAACAAACATAGGATAATTGGGACCACGGATTAATAATCTCAATCCCATGCTCTAATCCACTCAATCAAACATGCCTCATATGTCTTATTTCGATGATCCGAATCATTTTTTTTTAGGACTCATTGAGTAAAATATTCATAGAAAAGATTAAGATGATCGGATATCGGCAATTATATGTTTGAATTAAATTTTTATTACAAAAAATGTATGGTTGCCAATCTTCTCCAATTCACAATCCATTTTTTTTAAAAAAAAAAAAAAAAAAAAAACTCTCAGAAAAATTACACCCCCACCCCCACCCCCGATAATTAGTTTTGATCTATTACACTAATTCCCCTAAATTATTGTCTGGCAAGCTGTCGACATAGCATTTCAAGATTGATGGCACCATTTACCTATAAAATGGCAAAAAATCCATAATTTGGGTAAATTACACTTCGCAATTCTATAACTACACCAAATCCCAATTTAATTCCTTAATTAAGTTCTTACACTTTCGTTCAAGTTGCAATGTTGTCCTTTCATTAGTCTAGTGTCATATTTGTTAACATAAATTATCATGTTACCTTCACATGATGCATATTTCAGACAAAAATGTAATTTTCTATCTTTTTCTTATTCTTTTATATTTCTCCACCATATTTTCTCTTAGTACTGTATTTTTTAAACCAACCACCACTGACTAGAGAAGGCGTAGTTGATGCTGGTGGGCTTAGAAAATATAGTGAAGAAATAAAGAATAAGAAGAAAAATTAAGAAAATTATATTTTTGACGAAAAAATGCCTTACGTGAGTCACATGTCAATTGCCATTAGCAAATTTAACATCAAATTAATGGAAGAACTACATTACAACTTAACCTAAAGTATAAGTTAACTGTTAAAATTTAAAAAAGAAAAGAAAAAGAAACTGTTACAATTACAAAATGAGAGACTCAAAGTAGGATTCGGTGTAAAGTGTAGGGCATTAAGTGTAACATACTCCCTCAATTTTATCAATCAACATGTTACATGCTCATAAAATAAAGCCTCAAATTATATAGTACTATAGAGAAGTTCTGTACAATTCCAATGTATTAATTCTATATTGTGCAATATTTGATATTATACATTGTTGAAACATTTGAGAAATCTTTACTTCACTTTTATATACATCAAATTTTAATCCAACCACGGTCAGCTTGCCTATCTGAAAAAATAAAAAAACACGCTCGGCTCTATTTCCAAATTCAACTTGCCTTTGTGGATGGTTGTAAGGGTGTATAAAGAGGAAACCAAATTTGACAGACCGGCTAGAATAGGCAAACAATTGCTATGATCAACAATACAACTGAACATGCCATTGCCTGCAAAAACAACCATGTGTTGACCATAAAATGCTAGTCCAACTAATGTTTATACCATTTTAAGGTGAAAACAAAATAGAGGTTTACCTTTCTACTAAAAGCCGAGAGAGAGAGAGAGAGAGAGAGAGAGGTAATACTTACACAAATTGCAGAAGCAGCAAGGCCAGCTCGCTCTCTAGGGTCCTTTCGATAGTAGTTTCCAAAGTACAGAATTGCAGCATAGTACCACATAAGTGGGAACACAAAGCCTAACAGAAAACTGAAAAGAATAGATATATCCATTAGGTAAGGGAAAATGAGGAAAGATGGAGGAAGGAGTTAAGAATACTCACGAAAGCCATCCTATCCCACAACCAAAGCAAGGAAGGGGCTTGTCAAAAGTCCCTAGTTGGAAGTCATCTGCATCTCTAATAAGGGTATATTTGCCTTTCGGGTCTCCCATGTCTGTTGCTTGCCCTGCCAGTGCAAGAATAGTTCAGTATTCTCGGCATTTACTTAGTAAAAAGATCAGTTTCTGTAACAGTTCTCTTTTAACAGAAAGTAGCATCATATGGATCATATATATTAGTCAAAGCAAACTAAATGTGCCATCACTATCACAATCACAACCCATTATTCTGATGAAAGGCACACGAGTAAAGATGAAGCTTGATTAGCATGCAACAAGAACTTTGGGCCAGTTTGGTGTAGCTAAAATTGCAAACTGAAATTTGAATCAAAAAACAAAAGCTAAAAGTAACCGTTTCCCAACTTCCCAATAATCAACTTTTTTCAATTTATATAAGTTATTTTTGCCTCATAAGTTGTAAGCAGAAGCTGTTTAACATAGATTTCCAAAATAAAAATAAAAAAAAATAAAAAGAAGAAGCTATAAGCAGCTCCATCAGCTGCACCAAACAAGGCCTTTGTTTTCAGATGGTAACTGTGTGAATTTATGTGTGTGCTTATATAACTAGCCACTACTTCAGTATGGAGTAAAATCCAGACAACAATGACAAGGTGTCAAAGTTTTACTAAATCATAAACAATGGAAGGGGTATGTGTTAGAATAAGTAGTTCCAAAATAAATCCAAAAATCATTAAGATTCTTTCGATTGATATCCTCTATGCCGAAATCAATAAAAATGATACCAAGGGACTTCAAAGTCACTCAGACCCAGGTATGGCAGTCATGAAATGATGCCATGGCATTGGAAGTATACCAATCAATTTTTCCTCAATCAGTGATCCAGAAACAGAAAATGGATGTACATGTAATCAAAACTTGGGTGGTAGTTTAGGCATGACTTAAGCAAATAAGAGAAGGTCAATGTTTAATTTAATATTGAATAATAGAAAGTACAATGAATTTGCATGTAAGCATAAAAAAATGGGTAATTGCATATTAATCACATCCAAACAGTATCTACCTTTAAACAGTGAATTGTATCGAGCAGAAGGCCTCAAAAGATCGAAGTGCTTATCAGAAACTGATCTCACCAATTCAAGGCCATTTCTCAAACTTTCTCCCTCCTCGATTGTAGCATCTGTGACATGAAGAAGTTCCAATATATAGTCATTAAAAGGTCTAAGGCCATTTGTTAGTTGTATATTTCCCTCCTTTTCCTTCACTCTCCCCATAATTCTGCATGCATAACTTATCTTAAAAAGAGAACCAAATGTTCAATTGGGCATGGAACTTCTAAGTGGAGTAAAATATTGCCATATCCTCCTATAGTTACATACAAAATACTTGCAATAGACAAACATGTGCAAGTAATTTCAAGAACACGAAAATGCAATCCACACCATCTATCAATCTTGGAAGGGACTGATGAGCTCACAATAATTGTCTCCTTGTAAATACCAGCATTGTGTCCCTTAATCACAACAAAGATTGGAGTTGAATCATTCTCATAAAAGAATTAATAATATTTGTCTTTGACACAATATGTCAGGCATGAGACGACACAATATAAAGATAAACATGAACCAGCATAAAATTTTCTGTGGAAGCCATATTAAGTTTTTGCATTTGCCTTTTTAACTGATATTGGTGCATTGTCAGACTATTAAACTAACAAGTGCAGTATCGTCCTAGTTGAAATACTTCATCATAGCATGATATTGAACAGTATAGTTGCTCGGTGTAACAATATAGTGTGAGAATATATTGTGAAATATATTGTGAGTCTTACAAATTAACTTAGAGTCCTATTAGAGGCATGATTGTATTAGAGTTCTATTAAAGTCATGGTCGTATTGTATTTGTATTTCCTTTTTGGTTTAGGAGTTAGGGCTATATACATTCTAAGGTCTGATTGTAATTCATACACATTGAATATATGAGATACAGATAGCTATTCAAAAATCTTACATGGTATCAGAGCCTTGTTCGAAACCCTAAGTCCACGCCTGTTGTTCGAAGTTGTCGCCGATTGTTCGAAGTCGTCTCTGTTCTTTGGTCTTCTTCACAGTCGCGACTTAGGGTTCGTGGGTCTCTCTGGTTCGTTGGTCGCGTCTTCAGTCATCATTAGCAACTCGAGATCAGCTTCAGCCCGTGCTTTGTCGTGGCTCAGTTCTGGTCCTTCTGGTTCGCGAACTCAATCCCTCTAGTTCGCGAACGTCATCACCGTGCTTCTGATTCAGGTCGCGATCGTCTTCCGCCGTCGTCCACAGCCATCGTGACTCCGTCCTGTCTTTTGAATCTTCTCTGGTTCGCAATCAGTCCCCTGTGATACATATAACTGATTTGTTGGTATTTACACTTTGACCCAAAATCTCATTGACTATTACACTTGGACTGGCTCACTCACGTGTGTGTTCTAAGTACTGAGATAGTGGTTATAATTTGACCCCAAAATTCTATAACTTTGGTTCACTTTGATGTCGGATACCCACACGCTTCAATCTTTAACAAATCCCAAGAAAGGACCACTAGCTCTAGATGAGTGCGCTTTCTGCCATCAGAGGGGTCATTGGAAGTGTCATTGTCCCAAGAAGGGATGTTTGCTTGCTTTGTCTGTGTTTGCCTCGTCTTCTCAGCAATTGCCGATTAAGTTCTGCGCTCTTCCTCTGAGTACCGTTCGGCCTCCCACCAATTCTACTGTATCTGCTCCAGCTCCAGATCCTGACTTAGCTTCCTTGACTGCTCAGATTAGTCAGTTTGAACATACATTGTGTACCTCCCAGCCATCTATGTCTGCCTCAATTGTTTCCCCTCTTCATTCAAGTTTGCTTAGGTCTTCTTCAGGTATTTCTTCGTCTGTCTGGTTTTTTTACTCTGGTGCCTCTCATTATATGACTCCCCATCTCTCATTACTTCAAAATTGCACTCCTCCTTTTCCTATTACTGTCAATGCTGCTAATGGGCCTGGTATGTCTGTTATATCTGTTGGATCTGTCCTACCGTCTGCTATGTCTGTTGTCTCTATTCCATCTGTTCTTTATGTTCCTCAATTATCTGTCAGTTTATTATCTATCAGTCAACTTGACGCCTCTGGTTTTGATGTTATCTTTTCCTCTTCTATCTGTTCTGTGCAGGATCGGATGTCTAAACAGCAGATTGGGACTAGTTGTAGAGTTGGGGACCTTTATGTGGTAGAGAGCTTGCATCTGCCTTTGACAACCTCTCTGACTGCCTTTCCTCTTTTCAGTTAGATTCTCTGTCCAGTCCTTTCTACTTGTGGCATTCTAAATTAGGGCATTTGTCTGCTGACCGCTTACGGTCTTTGGCTCAATCAGGTATCTTGGGAAAAGTTTCTCCTAGTGAACTTACTAAATGTCAGGGGTGTAAACTCGCCAAGATGACAGCCTTACCTTTTCGTAAAAGCACTTCTATATCTGATACACCATTTTCTTTAGTTCATACTGATGTTTGGGGCCCTTCTCCTGTTCTCCTGTCTGCCTCCTAGCCATCCTCGTCTGCCTCCATTGTTCTCTCTTTATTCAGGTTTGCTTAGGTCTTTTTCAGGTATTTCTTCGTCTGTCTGGATTTTTGATTTTGGCGCCTCTCATCATATGACTCCTCATCTATTATTACTTCATAATTGTACTCCACCTCTCGTTCTTATTACTGTTAATGCTGCTAATGGGTTTGGTATGTCTGTTATATCTGTTGGGTCTATTCTACTGTCTAGTATGTCTGCTATCTCTATTCTATCAATTTTATATGTTTCTCAGTTATTTGTCAGCTTGTTATCAATTAGTCAACTTAATGTCTTTGGTTTTGATCTTATCTTTTTTTTTTCTTCTATTTGTTCTGTGTAGGATCGGATGTTTAAGCAGCAGATTGGGATTGGCCGTAGAGCTGGAGACCTTTATGTAGTGGAAAGCTTGCATTTGCCTATGACAACTTCTCTGAATGTCTTTTTTTCTTTTCAGTTAGATTTTCTATCTAGCCATTTTTACTTGTGGCATTCTAGATTAAGGCATTTGTCTGCTGATCGTTTACAGTCTTTAGCTCAGTCTGGTATATTGGGTAAAGTTTCTCTTAGTGAACTTACTGAATGTTGCGGGTGCAAACTTGCCAAAATGACAACCTTACATTTTCATAAAATACTTCTATATCTGATATACCATTTTCTTTAGTTCATACTGATGTTTGGGGCCCTTCTCCTGTTCTCCTGTCTGCCTCCTAGCCATCCTCGTCTGCCTCCATTGTTCTCTCTTTATTCAGGTTTGCTTAGGTCTTTTTCAGGTATTTCTTCGTCTGTCTGGATTTTTGATTTTGGCGCCTCTCATCATATGACTCCTCATCTATTATTACTTCATAATTGTACTCCACCTCTCGTTCTTATTACTGTTAATGCTGCTAATGGGTTTGGTATGTCTGTTATATCTGTTGGGTCTATTCTACTGTCTAGTATGTCTGCTATCTCTATTCTATCAATTTTATACTTTTTTGTCTGCTATTCACTCTTTTTCAGAACCACAGTCTTACAAAGAGGCATGTCAGGACCCTTATTGGGTTCACGCTATGGAAGATGAGTTGTCTGCTCTACAGAAAACTAGTACTTGGGAGCTTGTTCCTTTGCCTGCTAGTTAGAACTTGGTTGGTTGTGAATGGGTCTACAAAGTCAAGACTCATTCTGATGGGTTTCTTGAGCGCTACAAAGCTTGTCTGGTTGCCAAAGGTTTCTCTCAAGAGTATGGTATTGATTATGAGGAAACATTTGCTCCTGTTGCCAAGATGACTACTGTCCGTACTTTGATCTCTGTCGCTGCTATTCGTTCTTGGCCTCTTTATCAGATGGATGTTAAAAATGCTTTTCTCAATGGCCATCTCACTGAGGAGGTTTACATGCGTCCTCCTCCTGGTCTTCCCCATTCCTCTGGCCAAGTTTGTCGTCTTCGGCGTACTCTGTATGGTCTGAAGCAGTCTCCTCGTGCTTGGTATGATCGCTTTCAGACTGCTGTTACCGAACTTGGGTTTCATTCTTCTGCTTCCGACTCTGCTTTATTTTTGAGACATACATCGACTGGTTTTATTGCTCTCTTACTCTATGTGGATGATATGATCATTACTGGTTCTGACTCTTCTGCTATCTCTGAGGTCAAGTAGCATCTCTTCCGCACCTTCGAAATGAAAGATCTGGATCCATTACGGTATTTTCTTGGTATTGAGGTTGCTACTTCTCCAAAGGGCTATTTTCTATCTCAGGCTAAGTATGCTAATGAAGTCATTCACCGTGCTGGTCTTACTGATACTAAGGTTTCTGATACATCTATTGAGCTTAATGTGAAGCTTAATTCTACTGATGGTGTCCCTCTGGATGATCCTACTTTATATCGCGAGCTTATGGGTTATTTAGTTTATCTGACTGTCACTCACCCTAATCTTGCTTATGCTGTTCATGTGGTTAGTCAGTTCGTTTCTGCTCCTCGCTCTACCCATTGGGCTGTTTTGGTTCGCATTTTTCGCTATCTCAGGGGTACCATATTTCAAGGCTTACTATTGTCCTCTACTTCCTCTTTGGACTTGGTGGCCTATGCTAACTCTGAAGGGGTACGATCTTTCAGGGCTTATTGTTATCCTCTTCTTCCTCTTTGGACTTGGTGGCCTATGCTCACTTTGATTGGGCCGGTGATGTTACTGATCGTAAGTCTACGTCTGGTTTCTGTATGTTTCTTAGAGATTCCTTGATCTCTTGGAAAAGCAAGAAACAATCAGTTGTTGCTCGCTCTACTGTCGAAGCTGAGTATCGTGCTATAGCTCATGCCACTGCTGAGATTGTTTGGCTTCGTTGTCTCTTATCTGATTTGGGTGTCTCTCAGTCTTCTCCGACCTCTCTCTATTGTGACAACCGCAATGCTGTTCAGATTGCCCACAACACTGTCTTCCATGAGCGGACAAAACACATTGAGATTGATTGTCACTTTGTTCGCCAACATCTGCAGTCTGCCTCTATCTCGCTTCTTTTCATCCCTTCAGCTTCGCAACTTGCGGACTTCTTCACCAAGACTCACACTACCGCTCAG